CCTGCCCCAGAAAGGCTCCCGATTGAACAGTTGGTGATGAGTCCGAGGCCAGTTAGAAACAGCTGACAGACCCGGGAAAACACTGAACACTGCAATGTACAAGGGCGAATTCACTGACAGGCCTCGGGCATTTCTCAGCCCCATCTACGAGTCCCAGGGAGGTGAGTCCCTGGGAGGTGGGACCCTGGGAGGTGGGACCCTGGGAGGTGAGTCCCTGGGAGGTGAGTCCCTGGGAGGTGAGTCCCTGGGAGGTGGGACCCTGGGAGGTGGGACCCTGGGAGGTGAGTCCCTGGGAGGTGGGACCCTGGGAGGTGAGTCCCTGGGAGGTGAGTCCCTGGGAGGTGGGACCCTGGGAGGTGAGTCCCTGGGAGGTGGGACCCTGGGAGGTGAGTCCCTGGGAGGTGAGTCCCTGGGAGGTGAGTCCCTGGGAGGTGGGACCAGGAAACACTCCTAGACCAGGAGCCTGCTAGGCAACCCTATTCCTGACGTTCCTTTGCCTTTGAATACATTAGACAGCCGTGGGTTTCGGTTTTCTCCTGAGCAGAACGTAGAGGGGGACCTTTGAGCTATAGTACAGGGTCGCCTCCAGAGCTGGCTAGTGTTCTGTTCGTCGAGAAAATGTGCCTCACATCTCATGTTCCTTCCATGAGGGTCTGTAAACAACCGGATGCCGCTTCTAGCTGTCATGAGTTACAGCAGTGATTCACATTCTCCAGGACGAGAGGAAGGGTTGGCCGTAGCTCTAGGGAGGACAGGTGGCTTCGGCTTTCGGGTACATTGTAGAGAAAGCACCCACCGGGGTGGGGGGGGTGATCATCCATCTCTTCTGAGGGTTCAGCCCCCCGCCCGCCTCACTGATAATGGATCTTCATGTTGAAACGTAAATGAGGCTGACGCTACAAAAATGATCCTCATGTCACCGAAGAGACATTTGGCCACGGGGGTTTTCTAGATGTTCTTTGGTGTTGATTTTCCCTCAGTGAAAGGGAGCACACTTGGTGATGCGGCCCCTCAAAATGAGCCGAGGGTTGCCGTCCTGTGTACGCAGTACCCAGAGAAACCGGTGAAGGTCGAGTCTGGGACATGGGACCGAGGGTAGAATGTTTAGAAAGTAAGTGACTATTACTCTGGACATTTCGTTGGACTCTTTATAATCTTAGCTAAATTGTTGCCCTCCTGACTAATCCTCGTGTTCTTCTCAACTCCTCCATGGGAAGTGCGCTCCGTAAATCTCACTGGCTAGACATTCATTGGTGTGTCGCATGTCACCTATTATTATAATTATTAATGCATGTCTATAGGCAAAGTTTTATCTATCTTGAGAAGGCCGAGGTTCGGGGATTGTAAAGTATAGTTAATTATTGGTTTAGTAATTTGAAATTGCAAGACATCAATAGACATAGCATGTTCACAAAATTGGAGAAAATGCGTACTTTTTACTTTGAGCACTTTTTTAGCGTAATATTTGTTGTAACATGAAATGTTAAAGTCCTTCAGGCTCAGCCCCACTGAATATATATTGCCCATTTATTGTGCTGTGTTATATTGATCACAACTGGCCTACAATATTTTTATAAGAATATAATTTGCTTAGCTTGTTTTCACTGCATCATTAATGGTCGATTTTAGGAAGTGGCTCAAATAATCTAGAGAATAGGATACTCATGCTTTTTACAAAGTTTTCTGAGATATTGGCCAAAGAATGAGGGGCAGACATCAATTCTTATGATGTGTTTTAATATCTACAACAAAGACAGCACATGCAATAAATTGAATCCGTAGAAACTGCTAACGGTGTAAAGTTATTTATCAGTTCACTGTTTCTCTACTGGACAGTAAGTATAACGGGTTGACAGTTTTATAGGTGATAAATGATTTTCAAACCTAATTGCCCAGTGAAGACGGAAGAATTGTAGAAGAGGTTAGGCTTAGTACTCTAGTTACTACTTGGTGAAAAAGGTGAGGTTTACTTTGCATAAATACCTTTCACTTCATTTCACATGCTCTATCCAACAGCTTCTTCTCTAATATATAAGTAAATATATATTTCTTATTTCATCAAGTTCAAATTGTGGTGGTGGCCAGAACCCATGGACTCATAAATATCTGCGACCTGCATAAATAAATTCATTCCGATCGTCTACTGTTCATTCAGTGGTTAAGGGCAAGGTATGCTTTCTTCGGCCCCACCAAGAATAGTAAGCTTTTGGGTTCAAGTTATTTTTCACTTTTCTGCATTTTAAATATAACGTCATGTCTACAACAATTAATATTATCAGAAGAAAAAACTGGGGGCATAAAAACGCGAATCCCCTCATGTCATCTTTCTGTGAAATGTGTGCGCCCCTCCCCCGAGGCCTTCTCTGCTCTCGGACGAGCCTACATGACTTGTGTTGCTTCCGTCATCATCACTCTCTTCCCACCCAATATGGAAACTGTGACGGTCTCCATTCACCTGTTTCCATCTGGATGGGATTCTAGTGAAACCACTTTCAAAAGGAGCCGACAGATGTCTTTGGTTCATAGCAAGTCACTCCCTCCCGGTGAAAAAGTCATATGTATATTCAAGATATAATACAATTTCCGGAGGGAGAAAAAAGACTTGTAAAGTGGAGAGGCGTCTCCAGGCAGAAGCCGCTAAGCTCCGGTGAGTTGAATACGGGCCTACGACCACCCTAGTTGCTCCAGGGGAATTGATTTCATGAAGTTCCAGAAGTTCAGTAACTTTTCATCTTTGGTTTTTGTAGAAGACTCATCAGCTTGTCATTTCTATGACAGCGTGCGCTGCCTTATGTCAAGTATATTCGGTTAATGCAAATTCTCCAATCTGTTCATTTAGTAATTTTGACTTAGCTACAAGTGTAAGCATAGCTGGAGGAGCATGCTAGACTAAATCTGCAAGAATGCCCCGTGAGCTATTGTACAGCATTGTTCTCATTGTGATGAGATTGGATCAAGACGTGGAAGGACATTTCTCTCTCAGACTCTTTTTTATGACACGATTTTCAGAACGAACTGGCCCAGGTTTTGCCTGATCTCTGGTACCCTCTCCGTGATGCTCACTGGTGATGATCACAAGAAAATGGTGTTTTTGAGAAACTTCATGCAGGTCTTGTGTCTACAACCAATGGACACGGAGCAGACTAATGAGCAGAGTTTCCCCTGGACTCGCTGCCTGTGCTTTGGGGACCTGAACGCAGCTGAGACATGACCCAGGACCCCTGAGGGCCTTTCCCCAAAATCCCTTGTAGAAACTTGTGGTCTCTAAGCAACAGCTGGACCGAGAGAGCCGGGGAGAGTCTTGCTCTGAGCAGGAGATGTGCTCAGGTGGTTTCCGGTGAGAGTCACCTATGGCATTTCTGAAGCAAATGTCCTGGGCTAAGGGCGCTCAGAGGGTTAACTCCGAAAGCTGGGATTTCGGGGAAGGCTCTGGCATCCTCAGGGTCCAGTCATCGGCTCTTCTGCTGTGTCAGCAAAATTCACAGTGCAGAGCGCTGGAGCAATTTTCTTTTTATCCCCGAAAGCTTAGGATAATTATTTTTCTCAGCCACATTAACTCTTATGATTAGCATCTCGATGGGGTTTTCATACTTATCTGGGAGATGCGGAGGTTCTAGGTAGTTGCTATAAATGTGAATTTATCAAGGAGGGGCCCAGAAACATTTAATTCTATAGTAATTCTCTGAAAGAAATTGTCAATCTGCATTCAAGCTATGGATAGGGATGAAAAAAATATCTTATCACTGATCTGCAAAACAGGTACGCTTTCAACAGACTAACATTGATAGTTTAAAATATTTTGCTATTAAGGAAAAACAAATCAGGTTTTCCTCTTACCTGGCCTGGGCTCACTACTGTTTCAACCCCACTGGGGGTATTGGTGAGCTGACCATCTTAAGTACGTAGCATCGGATAACTGGCAGAATCGTTTTTATTTTTCCTCCACTGAACTCCAAAAGTGAGGGTAAAACTGTCTATGTTGTTGATCTGAGTTAGCCAAACTTCCTCCATTCACATGGAAATCACTACTTCCCTAGAAACCTTGAAAACATGTCATCCACGTGAAGGATGAACAAAAATTACATTGAATCCATGTCCTCAGAATCCCAGCCAACCGATGCCCAGCGCAAGGAAAGGAAGCCAGCAAGTCCTGGTTCCCGGGAAATGGCGAATCCCGATGGCTGACCGAGAACAGCCTGTGTGACAGTCTAGCTATAGTCCTGAGCCTGTTCTGCTGCCACAAAGTAGCTCAGTTCCTTCTGAGGGTATTTTCATCTCTTTCTCAAACCATTTCTCACTGAGAGTCCTTTTTCCTTGAGATTCAGTGGAGGCGGCTGGTGATCACACCCCGTCTCCCCGCGCAGCCCAGCAGGACAGCCAAAGGGGGAGGAACGCTGTCACCGCAAGGGAACACCAAGCAGAGGGGCAGCGGTGACGTGATGTGCAGGACAGCTAGACAGGTTCTTTTGCCTCCAAAGCATCTCCCTTCTCACATTCTCACACTTGTCATGGGAGCAGACTTGACTCTATAAATACTTTTGCTAATAAGAAGCCTGTTTTTTATTTTTTAGAGCACTGTTTTAAAAATAGCTATTCAACCTAACAATCTTAATTTTAATGCACCAAATTACAGTTTTCTACCATTTAAGTGAGCATGACCTGTCACCCTCAGCACAGTTTGATAATACTTGTTAGATACAGATGGATGGAGCAAAATCCATATCGCTATTTGTCACACACACACACACACACACACACACACACACACAAGTAGAGCTACAAGGCCCTACTTAATAGTGTGTTCTAAATTTCGTGTTCTCTTAATTGTCACTGGGCTTAGTTATATGGCCAGTTATGATGCCATTTGTAGAGCTTATTGGATTTGTCCCTGTCAAAACCTTCCAAGCCACATCGCTCCTGGTGGGTCATCTCAAGGCCGGGCCCTGTCATCAGACGGGAGAACTGAACCATGAGGACACCAACCTGTACAACCCCAAGCGGGCAATGTTCACAAGGCCCAGGTCGCTGCTGCGGTTAGACCCAAAGAATTATATTGAAATGACTGTTCATAACGATTTGGAGTCTATTTTTGTAAAACATAGGTATCCCCCCAAGAAATTCAATAAATAAAGGACTTAGCCACGGAACCAAGGATGCGGAACTCCAGTTTTGAACCTTCCACGGGGTTTGGGGCTAGACCCGACCCATTTCAACTTCTGCTGCAATTGGTCTTCCAGGAGGCAGAGGGCGCCATGAGCCCGCACGCAGGTCCAGGACAGACTGTCTCTCTGGTCAGTGGTGGCTCTCTGTGTGTCATTGGATGAGGCTGGAGCTGTAGCTGAATCCATAGCTGCTGGACCGGGACAGGGGCTGCTGAGTCTCTTCGCTCTGCTCCGAGGCGTAGCTGGGAAAGGTCTGTGCACGGGACATCTTGGAGGAGCCAAACCCGTGCCCTGGAGGGAGAGGAAGGAAGGAGGGAGAGCTGTGCTAAGAAACAGATCCAGCAAAGCAAAAAGATACATGGCAAAGAAACCAACCAACCCATCAGAGCCCTCAACGCCTCCTACTGAGCTGCCCCTGCAGGTAATGGTGCCTTGTTCCTTGATGAGCTAAAACTGGGACCTGCAGGGCTCCGTGTTCTCCCCAGGGGGGTCTTGTCGACAATTCTGGATCCAGAGAGCGAGGAGCATTTCCTAAGGATCTCCAACTTCCACTGTCCTTCAACTTGGAAACAGAAGCAGACAAGCTCTGCCCCCCATCCCCCAGTGTTGTTTTTAATGGGGAGCCTGTTAACTTCTTTCTTTTATAATCACTTTCGGCATACGGAAGCAAATTACACACTTCCCTAAAACCTCTCTAAGTAGACAAACTACACTTGATCCCAAGCAGTAACCACCAATTATCTGGAAACACCATCCACAGAGCACGTTCGAGGCCCTGGCTTATCTTAGTGGGTTTGTGAGGAGCTGATGCAATCCATGATCCAGTTAACCCAGGTGATAAACCGGTATGGCTACTGACACAGCTCCCTAAAAATGAAACCTTATAGAAGATATATTTTTAGAAAATTTTATTTATGTCTTGTAGTTCAGATGTGCCCCCACGATGAGAAATTGGTGTAATACGAAAAGTTTAGCGGAAAACTCGTCAGAATGTTCAAAATGTAAGGAGAAAGTGTGTATTCCAAGGCTTCGGACAGACTTTCTCCCCATCCCGCGTGTTAAGCAGTGATTAATAATTCTTCCTCGTTGGGAATGAGGATGATCTCATCGTTAGATTCCAGCGGATGAGCTTGGTGGGAGAGGAGACAGGCCCAGCGTGCTCCGCCGCTCACGGTGCCATTTCACCCACAGGGGGAGCTATAGCTGGGGCTCCTCGTGTTTGTTTCTGGCCTGGGCGAGGCTCCAGGGAGCAGTCTGTCCACGGAAACATGGACCATCTGGCCAGGTCCTCAGGCAGCACCGTCCTTCGCAAGGTCGTGCACTTAGAGCGGTTCATCAGCAGGTGTGTTTTCCTTGCAGCGTCTGCGGCTTGGGACGCAGGGGGGAAATGCGAAGGAACTGGGTACCCAAAGCGAGGTCAGCTGGTGGAACCTCTTACTGTGAAAATATTGTGAGCGACAGTGAAGACTCATCACGAGCGGACCAGGGAGAAGAGGGACGCGGGCCGTTCCTCCCTGTGCCCCCTTGATCTTACCACTGGCTACATGATAATTCAGTTCCTCCAAGTGGAGATGCGGGCACTTATGAGCATAAATCAGGAAGAAATTCTAATATGAAGACTATATTCCTGGCCTTGGTTTCATCCTGTTATTATTTTTAAAACGAGAACGCTCTGAAAGAGAGTATGCTGTACCTTACTTTTAGTTCCTGGTGCTTGTGGGCTGAACACTAAGGCTTCAGGTGCACACGACGTCTCTCCCTGTGCACACGTAGTTGCTTCATCCTAGCGCCTTGGCTGCAAAAGTTTGCTCATGCAACCAGTATTCGCCAAACATCTGCTTAAACAGTTCAAAACCCCACAGCGGAGACAGAGTCATGGGAAGCGTGGTCCTGGACTTTACAGGGTTCACAGGCTGCTCTGGGAGGGGTCGTCAGACACGGGGGGACACCAGTGCGCAGGGGGTGAAGGACGCACACAGCCCTGCTCCGCAGGGTCAGAGCAGGGCTCCGCGGGGTCACACGCCTCCGCCTTGGACTGAAACGCAGGGACATGAGTCTCCGCCTTGGACTGAAACGCAGGGACATGAGTCTCCGCCTTGGACTGAAACGCAGGGACATGAGTCCTCCCGGCTCTACCACCCCGTGTGCTGTATTTGCCTACGTGGAGAGACCATCTTTCTCCGGGTGTTTGAGGATGAAAGGAAACACCTAGGAAGACACCTTGGGCTGTAGGGCCCCATGGATGTTCGTTCTCTGCCGTACGCTCTGTACGGAAGGCCCGGGCCTGCACGCCGTCGTCACTGCTCCGTATCCGTCCTTCGCCACCACGGCCGGGCCTGGTCCTCACCCCGGCAGGGTTGGAACTTGGTTCTGCTGCAGGGTCACCGATGCCGTCTTCATTTCCCCCACGAGCATTCCGGTCTCACCGGAGGTTACATTAGGACTTTCTTACCTCGGCCACTGCTCTCCAGTTCACAAGTGGTGCCATTTAAAACTTACCACAAAAAGAACACACCTCAGGGAACTGTACCCGTGAAGGCCGTTTGGTTTGGGCAATGATGAATATGAGAACAAAAGAGAGAAATAAGTCTTTTTCTCAACATTCATTTGAATTATGCCCTTAGGTGCTGTTGATCAAAACAAACAAAACAAAACACAAATCAGCTTCGCGGCTTAAATGAAAACCTTGCAGGAACGGGCCTGTTCAGGTATGAGAGACTCTGTTTAAATGCTTCCCGAACATTCCCTTCAGCTCACCCCGAGCACAGGTGAGGTGACGTGCACCCTAAGGACCCAGGGGTACTGTAACGGAGAACACCCCCTTCAGCTCACCCCGAGCACAGGTGAGGTGACGTGCACCCTAAGGACCCGGGGGTACTGTAATGGAAAAGCAACAACTTGCCCTCCGGTTTGGCTCAGCAGGTCGAGCGTCGCCAGGAGGACCGAGAGTCTTGGGTTCGATCTCAGCCAAGGGCTCATACCTCAGTTGAGGTTCGTCTTCAGCCCTGGTCCGGGTGGTGTGGGAGGCAGCCAGTTGATGTGTCTCACATTGATGGTTCTCCCTCTCTTTCTGTTTCTCTCTCTCCCTCTCCCTTCCTCCCTCCCTCCCACTCTATCTGAAGAAAAATAGAAAAATATCCTCAGGCCCTGGCCGGTTTGGCTCAGCGGTTAGAGCGAACCCCTGGGGACCAATGAGTCACGGGTTTGATTCCGGTCAAGGGCATGTCCCTTGGTTGCAATTCGTCCCAGGTCCTGGTTGAGGTTGTGCGGGAGGCAGCCACTCAATGTGTCCCTTTCACGTAAATCTCTCTCTCTCTGTCCCTCCCACTCTATTGAAACAATAAGAACGAGAAAAAAAAAAAGGAAAAAGGAAAAAATGTCCTCGGGTGAGGATTAAAAAACAAAACAAAAACGGAACAACTTTGTTAAAATGCCTTTTGAATTTTGGTTTCTACTTCATGGTCTTTTCATTGTTGTTTGAATAGAAAATAATACTTTCTGCCCATCTGTTCAGATAACACTGGCATCTGGGAAGACAGCACCTTGTAGTTACCTGGCAGCTGCATGTGCGCTCCGAGGTGACACTTCCTCCCCTCCCCTCCCCTCCCCTCCCCTCCCCTCCCCTCCCCTCCCCCTCCCCCTCCCTCTCCCTTCCCCCTCCCCCGTGTGTACACAAGGCTGAGGAGCACAGTTCTGTTCCATCAAGAAGGAACTACATCGGCTCCAGAGATGTTCCGACATTGGATCACCCTAGCAGACGTGACTTCTCCCAGCCCCGGCAATGGAAGCATCCACGTGCCGAGAAGGGGCGTCCCCTCGCCGTGAAGGTCAGTCTTGGCTGCTGTGTCACGAAGGATTCAAACCAGCGGTAAACCAGAAGGCACCCAGGGCGGTAGAAAATAACCGAGTTACCACGCGGGACCGGAGACGTACATCACACTTCGAAGAACAGCACCTTCCACGTACCCCCTCCTTCCCGGGCAGTTGAGTGCGGTGCTGCCCGGGGGGCCCTACGCTCATCCCTCTGGTTTTCTACACTGATTAACACCGGCTGTGCTCTTGACAGAAAACACGCAAAGGAGTTGGTTTCTGGAGGAAATTGGGCGGATCAACGCACAGAACTTGGGGTTATCAACAGGTGGAATCAATGGTCTCGGGGGCTCTGGGGAGAGGACGGGGTGCTGGAGAGGAGAGAGCAGAGGGTGATGGTCCGACCTGACTGAAGGATGGACACCTGGGGTGGCCACAGAGGTCTGGGGGCGCTCGGTGCACGAGGTTTCTGTGGGGTAGAAGTGTGCTGGGACTGCCTAGTGTGTTCGCAGTAACCTGCCCTCCGGTCGGTGTGCTGAGAAATGCCAGGCTCACTGTCAACATCTCCAGAAGCTGTGCTTGATTCGACTCAGGTCATTGTAATTACAGCTCAAACCAGACTGGGTTTGATCTCTGTGCGCTCCTGAGGGTGCTCCCGAAATCCCAGTCCTTTGACGACCCTTGGATGGATCTGTTGCGGGTACCGAGGCTCAGGTTCGGCACTTGAGCCAACGGGGAATAGAAAGATCACAGCTTCAACCCAGAGAGAGAGAGAGAGCGGCCGTGATATCACAACCCTGTTCGTTAAGCGTGTGCTCATGCCAACCCTAGGCTAAGTGCCTCAGAGACGTCACGTTAAAAATCCTCACGTCGGTTCCGCAAGGTGGGATTGCACACCCTCGGGCATGTCACAGACACAGCTGAGCGTGCGGGGGTTGATGACGCCCTGAGCCTGAGCCAGACCTCGGTCTGCTGGACGCTGCACCCAGAGCACTGCCCCCCCCTGCTGCCTGTCCCCCCAGGTGTGCTGAACACAAAGCGCACGTGAACTTCTCCAGCCCCAGCTCCAGGGGAGAAAGAGCAGTTTGCACAGCCCGCTCCTGGAGGCTTGCTCGGAGTGTCTCTCAAATGGTGACCGTGTTGTCCAAGAACCAAACGCCATTCAAGGAAGTGAAACGCCCCCCTGGTCTGCTCAAGCTCCCTAACCAGGTGCCAGGGGCTGGGGGCTTCCCCAGCGGTCGGGGTTCTCAGAGTCTCCAGGTGGACGGCTGAGGTCCAGGTGGTTTCCGGAGAACTCTCCTCGGCCGGTGGACGGCGCCTTCTCCCTTCGGACTCACATGCGATTTCCTGGGGCCTCCCCGTGGAATCCACGTCCCACCCGCGTGACCTCATTTAACCTTAATTACACAATGCAGTCTAAAATACTTCAATTTGCCTTAAAAATGGCTTCATTTACACAGAATTACATCTTTAATACTATT